GCCAACTTTATTCATGTAGGATATACAATATTGATCAAGTCATTGAAGCAAATTTTTTTTAATCGAGATCTATTTCAATAACCATTCATCTAAATTCATACTACAATCTCCTGGGGCTAGCTCAATGGCTCAATGGCTAATTCTACACCTGCAAGCATTGGTATTCCACATGGATGCCAATTCATGTCCTGGCTGCGCATGTGCCATCCAGCTACCTGTTTCTGGCCTGGGAAGGCAGCAAAGAATGGCTCAATCCTTAGACCCATGTGGGAGACCTGGAGGAAAATCCTGGCTCCTGGCTTCAAACCAGCCTGGCTGGTCACAGTCATTTGGGGAGTGAACCAGGGGATAGAAGATCTTTCTCTTCCTCTCTCCTCTCTGTAGATATGCTGTTCCAATAAAAACAAGTAAATCTTTTAAAAATATCCTAGAAAAGAGATTCTAACTTTTATCTTATGTATAACTTGTATTTCAATACCTTAAGATTTTGTTATTTATTTTAAATTCAGAGTTAGAAAGAGAGATCTTCTTTCTGCAGGTTCATTCTCCATATGATCATGATGGCCAGCAGAGCCAAGAGCTCCAACTGGGTCTCTCACGCAGGTGACAAGGTCCCTAACACTTGAGCCACCATCCACTGCTTTTCCGATTCCATTATCAAGGAGTTAGATGAAAAGTAGAGCAGCCAAGATATGAACTGATGTCTATATGGGATGCTGGCATCAAAGGAGGCAGCTTAACCCATTATGCCACAGCCCAGGTCCCTTTTAATGCCTGCTTAAAAAGGAAAATGTGTCTATAAAGTTAAGTAGAAGCAAACTTTATGCCCAAACTTTTAGCCATATATCTTTCAAAACAAATTTCAAAATACAAATTATACAAAATTCTAGAAGTAATATACTGATGCTAACTTTACAGAGATTTTTGAATCACCTTGAAAAGCTTAATTATCTTTTGGCTCAATCAAGTTCCCTCACAACTAAGCCAAACTAATAGGGCATATTCCTGAGAATTCATTACATCCTGATGTTTGCACTTGAAAAGCTGTTGCAGAAACTTAATGCATAATTCATACTCAAATATCTGCATTTCCTTTGAAATGATGTCATTTCCATAAAATAGCTCTGGAATTCCACAAAGGATATGATTCTACTGAGGTCAGGACATTTCCATGAAAGGAAATAAGTGTAGTCTCCCATTACCATCTGCTTATACTACATGTTAGCCAGCTAGGAAGTTTTCAGTAGCCAGGAACAGAAAGCCCAATTCAAAGGCTAAAAAATTAGATGTGACTTATTGGCCCATAGCATTTAAACAATTTAGTTTGCTCAGGCATGATTTGCTCAGGACTACTGGCACCTCTCTTAACTTTGTCTCTGGGCTGCTTCAGAATTTTTTTTAAGATTTATTTTTTTTTTATTGGAAAGCCAAATATACAGAGAGGAGGAGAGACAGAGAGGAAGATCTTCCATCCGATGGTTCACTCCCCAAGGGTCTGCAACAGCTGGAGCTGAGCAGCCAGGATTAGAACCGGCACCCAAATGGGATCCTGGCGCGTTCAAGGTGAGGACCTTAACTTGCTACACTATCACGCCGGGCCCTGCTTCAGGATTTGACACAACCATGACAACAGGCTCGGGTTTCAACTCCATATACTTTGCTGTCCAGAAAGAAACATTTCCTGTGTCCTAGAAGAACTCCCAGGAACTTCTCCAAACCGCCTATTAATTAGACAAACTATGAATCAAGCCCTCAGACTAACAGACTTGTACTGAATGGCTTGCAATAGGGTTAGCTGAGGCCAAAACTGGGGAGAAAGGGAACGTTGTCACAGCTTGTTAGGCCAGTGCTTTGGACACCTGCATCCTGTATCCAGCTACAAAAGATAATATAAGTCTTGGCTACTCCACTTCCAATCCAGTGTCCTACTGATTCCACCCAGAGGCTCAGTGGATGATGACTCAAGTACTTTAAGCAGAAAACCCAATTGAATTTTCAGTCTCCTGGTTGTAGCCTGGTCCAACAGGTTAAATAGTTGTTGCAGGCATTTGGGAAGTAATCAGCTAGCAGAAGATCTCTCTCTCTCTCTCCCATAGCTGATATAAACATTTTTCAAAATTACATTTATAAGAAAAAGGAAGGAAGGATTTGCCAATTGCCATAATGTAAATATTTCCAGCACAGTCAGTGAAGTGTGTGAGAGAGAAAAAAAAATGGAAAAAGTGTAAAGAACACCAAAGATTTTGTCAAGAGACAGGAAAGTCAAAAACAATAGAACACATTTCAGACATTGAAGGAAAACAATATCTTTTCCTGAATGAGGTCTATTTCATAAAATGATTCATGAAAAAAAATCCAATAATACATATCAAAATATTAAGTCATTATTTCTTGGTGATAGAAATATGAGTAATCATGGTCTTCCAATTTTTGAAAATATGCAAATCAATAATATATTGCTTTTATAATAAGAAAAATAACATTTTTTATTTGCCAAAATAAAGCCCAAGCTCATGCGGAACAGATACCAGGATTCAGGTCTCCTACTGCAAAACTCTCCAATTATAGCTAGTCAGTCAATAAACATTCCGCTTTCCCAAAGGATTGGAATAAAATTATCTGGTCAAGGAAATTGTCGCTTTTCCTCTAACTTGCTTCTTCCTGCAACAAGCATTCAGATATTTATTGATCTCCTTATAATTATCATGATGGTTTTCATGAACTGTACCAAATATTGCTCTATCACCACTAAGAATGACTCCAGGACTTCCTGGCTGTGTCCCCCTCCTGCCCAGAGAGCCTTCCAGGCCGTCAGGCCCTTCAAATCCACAGCTCAGACAGCACATATTGGAGGAGGGGCTGAGGGAGCAAGTCAGCAGTTTCTGGCCCTGTCTATACCAGTTGGAGGGGTTGCCAGCACTCCTCGTCTCAAGCCCTCACCGGGTTCCAGCCTCATTCCAGTGTTTCTGTTGGAACCCTCAGTGGATCTGACTCAGGGGTGGTCAGTGAAGTAGGAAGTGGGGATCAAACCAGTGCTATCTACCTGGAACTCCCTTATTGAAGTAAGCTGATCTTTCTTTTTTGGAAGACTTATTTCATTTTTATTGGGAAGATCCACAGAGAGAAGGAGAGAGAGGAAAGAAAGATCTTCCATCTGCGGGCTCACTCTCCAAGCAGCCACAACAACCAGAGCTAAGCCAATCAAAAGCCAGGAGCTTCTTCTAGGTCTCCCATGTGGGAACAGGGTCCCAAGGCTTTGGGCCATCCTCTGCTGTTTTCCCAGGCCACAGGCAGGAAGTGGCAGGGAAAGCGGAGCAGCTGGCTGGGCTCACTTCCCAACCAATGTGAGTACAGCAACCTCAAGTTAAGTGGAGTCTCTGGCATGGACCCTTGGGGCAATGGTAGAGGCACCTCTTAAATGCTTGGGTTCAAGTCCCTGCTTAGCTCTCTGTTTCACCTTTCTGTTAATGCTGTACCTCCTCCCACCTCAGCAGCCCACCTGGGAATCTCAAGGATCTGGCCCTTTGGCCATTATGGGCTGGGGGGCTTAAACCAGCTGATGAGAGAAAACTCACTCTTGAAATAGAGGTTTTAAAACTAAGTAATCATCATCATCGCCATCATCACCATTACCATCCTTAACTAACTGGAATAAATCATTAAAATAAGTACATATTTCATGGATTCATGATTCAGCTATTATTGTTGGCACTTAGTGCCACAAGTCACAGAAGAATGAGAAAAAATGAATAAGTTGATGGACCAGCAAAACTCCTATTAATTACATAAGGAACTTAAATTATCAAAAACTGTTTCTCTGTGCTTTAAAAAATTATGTCTGTGTGGCATATGAAATAAGACAGAAGTTCATTTTTGTTCCTATACCCAGTATTCATTAACCTTTTGGTTAATTTCAAAATAGAAAGAATTAATGAGGCTTTTCCCTGAAGCATATCTCTTTAAGCTCATATCGTTTAAATTAGACAATCCGAAAAAGAGGCCTAGGCCTTATTGCTCAGTGGGTTAAACTAGTGCTATGAAGACTGCATCCCCTATGGGACAATCTGATTCAAATCTCAGTCCTGGCTACTCCATATTTGCAGTTCAGCTGATGCCCCCGGGAGGCAGCACATGACGGATCCTGCACTCAGGTAGGACGCCCAGATGGAGTTCCTAATCACAGGCTTCAGCCTAACACAGCTCCAGCTGTCGCAGACATTTGAGAGTGAACCACTGAATGGAAGGTTTCTCTCTCTCTCTCTCTCTCTCATTTTCTTTCTGTGTCTCTGTATGTTTTTATCTCACACACTCTCTGTCTTTCTCCATTTCTGTCCCTTTCTCTCTCCTTCTCTCTCTCCACCACACCTGTCACTCTGCCTTTCAAGTAAACAAATGAATCTTTTTGCAATTCTATTTCTGCATGATTATTAAAATATTTATTCATTTACTCATTTGAGAATTCTTCCATTTACCAGTTCACTTCCCAGATGACTGCCACAACAGGCTGGGCCATTCTGAAGCTAAGAGTCAGTAATACCTTCCAGGTCTCACATATGGGTGGCAGTGACTCAAGCATTGGAGTTAACACCTCCCGCCTCCCAGGCATATTAACAGGAAGATGAATTGGAAATGGAGCAGCTAGAACTTAAATTGGCACTCAGATAAGGGATGCAAGCAATACAAGTGATGTCAACTCTCTATGCTACAATGCCAACCCCAAATAAATAAATCTTTAAAAAGAAGAAAAAGAAATACACCAAAACAGTGTGTTTTCAAAAATTCTTCAACAAAGAATTATAGGGCCTCCAAGCAAAAATATCAAAAGACAAAGAAAGGAAGAAATTTTCTGAATCTTCTTATTTTTCCTCAAGTTTTTTCAAATTGAACATTTCAGATAAAATGCTGCATAAGTCTTTTCAAAGATATAGACTTATTTCCTTACCTAGCAAGTATCCTAGCAATTTGTTGCAGAAGGTGAAATGCATTATGCTACAACACATGTCAAAAGGACTTACCAAGAAGTGATCTTGAGAGACGATTTTCCTCCTCGGGGATCTGTTCCCCATACTAGACTGGGAGCTCCTTGAGATGAGAGATTGTGTGTCACTGGCTCCTTGTTACACTTGTGGGCAGTTTTTGACAAAGCTTTAATGAAATAAGTGACTCAGCAGTTGGATAAAGTTCGGCTTTGCTCCACGTCTCAATTTCACTACTCCAGAAATACATTTAAACTTGAATAATTAGTGACCTAAAACTGAAAGAGGGGATACTTACATGGTGGCTTCCCAGGTCACACTCAGTCCCACTAATTAAAACTTGAAAGGCATCTGGAATGCTCTGTTTCTCATTGCTTTAACTAAAACACTTGAGAGGAGCTCCTTGGGGAAGAATACATTTGTTTCAGCTTACAGCTTGAAAGTTACAATGCCAGATCAGGCCGCCACACAGTCCAGCGTCAGGTGATTGAGGTGTTGCCTTCTAGACCTACTCCTCCACCAGTCATCTGGCCTGGTTTCCCAAGAGCAAACGCATGCAGCAGAACTAACACATTAGGCTTTAGAGGGAAGTATAACCCCAGAATAGCCACAGAAGGTGCAAAAAGAGAGAGAGTTGGCAAATACAAGACCTCTATCAAGCATCTATCTCACACAGCTTGAAGAAAACACATCCAGTTGCTTGGTTGTTTGAACTTCTTCAGAGAGATCAGAAGAAACCACTCACTTCAGAAGTCCATCATGCAACAAAATGGGGATGAATGCATTCTCCAGAGCCCCTCTCCTGTCTTCATTAGTCAGAGTGTACCCTCCACCCTTCCAGGGCAGCCAGGGGGAACCCCGCCCTGTAGTGCAGGGTACATATGAATGAGAGCTACTGAAAGAGCCAAGACTGCATAAAACTGGTTGGGTCATAGGTGGATTCTGGCCAAGGCGGCTCCCGCCAGGACAAGCACAGAGGAGTCCAGGGATGAGCCCAATCCTCCTGGGAAAGTGGGGAATGATGAGACAATCAGAGGATTTTCGATTGAGTGGTTAGCCAAAGGGTCAAGGAGGCATCAATCTAGAAAGGCATGCATGATCGAACAGTTGATCAATTCCCAGAATGGGAATCCTCAAAACTTAGAAATCTAAAACAAATAGATAACTGGGTCAAATTCTTTAGGAGTTCCATGATTAAAACATTTCCGAGTATACACACATTGACACATGCAGCACAATCACCTAATTCTCAGTTACTATTTGCTGATAAACAAATTTTGGGGCTGACCAGCCACGCTCAGTGGATTTTTCTGGACAACTCCGGAGAAGTTTCACTTTTTTTTAAGTCTAACACTTTTGTGTCAGATCAGCATTACTTCTGTTGCATAATGCAGAAATTAGACAAAAACAGATTCTTACTGGAAGGGCTGGATCTGCTATCCATTGGACTGATGTCAGGACGTCTTAGCAGCCAGGTGCACCACCATCTCCAGTCCAGTTACGTGGTAACTTCCTTCATGGAGCAGGGCCCGTCAGCAACATGTCTGTTGCATTCTTCTTCGGTGATTTTTAACCCCCTCATTTCTTACACACACACCTATCCCCATTGGTTTTTTTTTTTTTAGCTCTAAGCTATTTTCATTTCAAACTTACAGTTGTTTCTAAAATTATCCTAGTTTTTAGTTTCTAAAATTAAAGTTAGTTACCATGAAGTTGCTAGCACTCCACTTTACAATTTTACTTCTCACTGATTTGAATTTCAGGGAACACCACATGTTCACCTAACACACTGATTTCTGAGGTTTACAAATGCCAATACAGGCAGCTAAAGAAAAGTTTGGAGTATCCTTCCTATTAATATCCAAGCTGCTTAAGGCACTGGACTGCCACCTATACAATACAATATGGAAGCCATTGCAAGTCTCTAAACTTAAAAAGAAAACAAAATCAATGAATTAGTGAGTACATATTCTTGTAAATTGGGTATGCTGTAGCTCAGCATATTGGATATGGTGGGAAATTTATCTAAGGTTTCTTTGTGTTTTAAGCTTATGAAGTTTTGCAACTACAGTTTTCTATTCAGAATTCATTTTTAACTCTCTAGGCAGTGTCCAGATAATGGAAACAAGAGATCACGGAGAGTGAATCTGTGAAATCCACTTCCTGGCTCTAGAAACTTCATTAAACTATCAGGTGACAACAATAGTGTTTGTTCATAAGAGCCACAATTGTAGCAAGTGTCCAAAGTAGCTTCAGTACTTGGCATGTCAAATTAAACATAGCCAGTAGCTTGAAATAGTAATCCTGTTATTACTATTATGAGTCCTATTGAAATAGATGGGGGCCTAGTGAGTAAAATAAGTAAAAATTATTTCACAGACTACTCTGGTATTGGTTTTGAACCTGTTGAACAACAATCAATAAATTCAGTAGGGCCTTATGTTATTTTAGTAGATCTTAAAGGTTTACCAAGTGTCAACAGGAATAGAATAAGAAATATTTAGAAACCTAGAAAAGCATTCATTTGAGTGCATCCTGGGCAGGGATTGCCAAAGAGATTAATATGTGAATATAATGGGCAAGAATCATCAATGGACTCAAGAACTAGAGGCAACATGGGAAGGTGAGTGAGGGCTGTAATGGAGAAAAAGCTCAACCACACTCAACTCCTGCCTTGGAGGCCAGTAGCTGCCCTTCAGGCTCCAAAACTACACCTTTCATCCCTTTGCTGGACCTCAGGCTTCCTGGCCTCAAACTGAGACCCATATCCTTGACTTCTCTGAGGCCCTAGGACTTACACATGAACTATGAAACCAGCACCCCGGGCTTTTCAACCTGCGAACTTCTCAGCTGCCACCATCTCATGAGCCAAACTCCCTGATAAATTCTCTTTCATCTTTTTGAAAGATTTATTTACTTATTTTAAAAGGCAAAGAGACAGTGATAGAGAAAGAGAGGGGGAGGCAGGGAGGGGAAAAGAGAAAGAGAATAGCGTCCATCTACTGCTTCACCCCTCTAACACCCATAATGGCCATGGCTGGGCCAGGCTGAAATTAGGGGTTAGGACTTCATCCAGGTCTCTCAAGTGGGTGGTGGGCTTCCAAGCAATTGGGCCATCAAATTCAATCAGATTAAAAGCTGTATCTGTTCAGCTGGGCCTTGATGTGAGTGGGTTAGAGATCTCCCTCCCTGAAGCTTGTATGTTCTATGCTAGGACATCACCCCCCCCACACACATTCTGTTCATTAGAAGTGAGTTGTGGAGGACAACTGTGTTCATGTTTACAGGGAGGGGAATTAGGCTTTAGTTTTTCCATGCAGAAGACCCCCATTTATGTATAGGATTTTTTCCATAGTGCACATTTTCCATTTTTCACAATTTATTACTTGCTAAATAAATAAGCTAAAAAGGAAAGGATGTTGCCTTTCCAATGCCCTACATGCAGCTATTTCAGACATCTCTGCTCACACTAACAGTCTCAGCTGATACACCAAGTGGGAAAGCCAGGCAGGGAGCAGAATACCTCAGGAAAAAAAAAAAAAAAAACTTTCACTTCAACTGCTTGTAAAGATGATACAAGAATTCTTGCCTTCACTGAGGTTTTTTTTTCCTCCACCAAGGAATCTGACTTTCTAAAGACTTTTTTCTCTCTCAGTCAACATAAGATTTCTCCCAGGCTGCCCTAGAGCAACTCATAGGGGGAATTTGTCATTGTTGTTTTTATTAAAGGTGTAAGGAGGCTGCTTCAGTCTTCACTAGTCACAGAAGAGCTGTAACTTAAGCACTTATGCCTTCATTAGGTTCATAAAGGCAGTTGCTCCTGTAACTTATACTGGAGTGAGAACTATATTATCTTAATAAAAAATTCAGTAGGCCATTCAGAATGTACACAAAATGAGCATGGAGCATAAGCAGCCAGTATACATGCATTAAATCTGTTGTATCTGAAGTCAAAACCAACTCTGAAAAGCAAAACATTCTCCCCAACCTTTCTAGAAGAAGATGTACCTTTGCCTAATTACAGTGGAAGGAAGAAAAAGAGAAACAAGAAGGAAAGGAGGAAAGACACTTTAGACAAATGTCTCTTTTCAACCAGAGAAACAGAGAAAGGAATTTTTAAAAATCTTTTTAAAGTCAACATGTTCTGAAAAAGAATTCAAAGCATGATTTATCCAATTTGCACATCTTGTTATATTCAATGCTCAGCTGACTTTCCAGTCATAATAAATCTTTTATTACATATGGCGATGATTCAAGAGTATAAGCCAACCTCTTTGAAGAGGTTCTTATTTCCTTACCATGAACTCAGCCTTTTGTAACTTAAGAAAATGCCATTTTAATTACAGAGGAAGTGGTTGTAGAAAGTCAAACTTTGCCTATTTTTGTAAACTGAAACCCTGTAGGACACAAATTACAACTACAGCCCACATGTGCTGTGCTAACAATAGACCAGCCTGGCACAAGAAAGGAAGATCATATAGACACAAATAGAGAGCAAGGATGTTAGGCGTAACTAAGAAGCAAAGCAAAATGCATCTTGCCTTTTTCCCTCTTGCAGGGCCGGGTCTCCCAAGGGTTGACTCCACACCTTAGCTTGTTTTTCAAGGGGTAACAGGATGCACAATCTTGGCCTGATACACTTAGCTCCTGGCTTAACCACAAGTTCCTGCTTCCCCTTTATCAAGATGCTCGTGGGGGGTCTTAGGAGCTGCTTGAGCATTGGAAAAATACTGGGAGGAACCAGAGAGTAGAAAAGGCAGGCTAAACTTCAATAAAGCGGCATTCTCTTTGCAGAAATGACCCAGTGTGTGTTGTCTTCTTTGTAACTCTAGTCCCTCCACTTAACTAGGGGTACACGGTGACACAGGCGTTGCCGAGACCCCCTTACAACTCCCACTACCGCGATGGTTATGAGAGATGCACTTATCTTTTTCATTAGCATTTAAAATGGGTGGATGACACATGATGAGTTTATTTGCTAGAATCTGAGATGCATCATTATATAAGATGCCACAATTTTACTCTATTGGTGAAAGAGTAATTCTGGGTCTCTTCATCATTTTTCGGCCTTTTGGCTAAGATTAAGTGTAGTATTCTGGGTCTCTTCAGCCAGACCTTCTATGTCAGCCATTATAGTACCAATAGAACACGCACCTGGAGACTGAAACCAGACAAAGAATGCCAAGACTGGGAGACAGCAAGGCAAGTCTAGACCCGGTGTTCTATAGTCCAGTAGTATCACAATAATGTACGAGACATGTCTATAGAAGAGTCCAAA